CACCAGTGAAGAACTGCATCTTTCTTATCCTTTATTAACTTTTTGGTTGCCTATAGTTTTATCAAAATTAGAACCCGAAATGTCTCATCTGCCCAATTCTCTTGTAATCACTAGATATTCTTCATTTATTAACATGATATATATAGGGGAATTTTAAATTTCCAAAAGAGGCTGTAGATCTCACCCTTTTTACATCCTGGCAGTACCTCCTGCGGCCAGGTGAGGGAGAATTTGTTTATGAAAAGCTTCACACTTCTACCAACTTCCTCAATATCAGGTTCTGCCGAAGGTTATTTCAAATTTGTCCCTGGCAGGTAATCTGCTTGATATTTTACATGTGTTGTTTAAGTGGTGATATTAGATTTGATGATCTAGTCAAAGATAAAGGGTATGCTTGTTTTGGTATGCTATGCTGTGACTTTTGTGTTACTTAGGTGGTGGTAGTGGTTAAAACTCCAATTTGATCCCTCTACTTTGGCAAAAAGCTTCTTTTTAATCCCTCTACTTAAAAGAGTCCTACTTTGGCAAAAAGCCCCTTTTTGGTCCCTCTGCTTTAATAAAATCCCTTTTTAGGAGCTCTACTTTGAAATTTCCATCATCTAATGTGACACATGTGCAAAACTTAACAAAAGGATTTAAAATGGGGCTGGATTTCAAACTTTAAGGACCAAAAAGAAGTTTTTTTAAGTAGAGGGACCAAAAAGGATCTTTTTCCCAAAGTAGAGGGACTGAAATGGGGTTTTAACCTATTACTTAGGTTGAGTGGGATTGCATTAAGCTAAGAATATGTGTTCTATTTGTGTGTCGTCTGGCAAAATGAATCCACAAATTGCTGGTAGATTCTATTTGAGGCGAAAAAAGTCAATGTCGCGCAGCAACCTAAGTTATTGATCTTTTGTGTGGCAACCTAAAAATATGTTGATATAAGAGTAGATTTATATTTATACTTTATATTATGAGAATTGGATACATCTATCAAATTATATCTTGTCATACCCTTTGAAATTTATATAATGATGATGCATCTGTTACTTGCATGCATGATAGATTTCATTTCTCATTTACTAATTGGTGATCTTATCTGAATCTTGATTTTGCTAGTTGGTCAATCCTCGTGGATTTGAATTTTGTCTAGAATCTTAGATTGAATGTATCAGCCATAGAATTGGCTGAAAGAGAAAGTTAATTGCCAATTACTTGACCTTTTTAACCAAGTTCTTACTTTTTATTTAATCTTAATAGATTGGCAGACCAAAAAGGTGGCCTGTTTGAAGTTCAAGTGGCAAGGTTCCCTGTAGAGGTGCAAGATTATATTTACTGATTGAACTTTTCATGGTTCTCCCGAAGCACCGAAACAGAACTGATTCTAAACGTCCTCTGTTAATCAGTATGAGAAGACCCTTTCAGCCTCATACTTAAGCTACAAAAAAGGTCACGATCCATTCTTTGTTGTTTAAGTAGGTTTTGTGATTTGGTATGAATTTATTCACTTGATATCCAGTGATATTTTTTTACATATCCCTTTCGGTTTATGTGAGCATGCTCAAGAATTGTTTTTTCTTTTTGATAGAAAGAGAGAAATAGATAGATACTACATAGAAATTACAGTAGTTCTGGGAAACAAAGTCCCAATAGAGCATTATTCAAGAATTATGTTTGGTTGCTTTAAGAGAAGCTATTTTAGGACCAGGAGCAAACACATGCACTGAACAGAGCAAACTGGCACTAAACCGTGGCTATTTACTTCAAAAAATATCAAATGGACGCTTATAGATTACAATATTTGGTTTTAAGTCCAACTTTTGTAGGTTGAAACAGTTTGAATTTTCAAACACTATTTATTGGATTGCAAGAAGGTGCTTCTAATTCAACGACTCATGTTTTGCATTCAAGTACTTTTTTTGTTTATTTATTTTGGTTGCAAAATTTAAATTTTAATTGGAAAATATTATAGTTATAGTATTTGTGATATTATAAGATATGTTATTATATATTTAATTC